CACTCCATTTATATCAACAATCCTTCCATATTCTTTTTAACAATAAACGATTATTTCGAATTTTCTAAAAATAATCTATTTTAATCGATTACCAGCATTAATAAATTACAATCAATTAGATTTTTAACCGATTATTTTGCATTTTCTGAAAATAATAGATTTTAATCCATTACTATCATTAATCGATTAAAATCAATTAGATTTTTAACCGATTATTTTGTATTTTCTAAAAATAATCGATTTTACCCGAGTACCAGCATTAACTGATTAAAATCGATTAACTTCTTAATCGATCTTCTGATTTTTCTAGAAATAATCGATTTTAATCGATTATTAATAAAAATCGATTATAATCCATTAGATTATTAATCAATTATTTTGATTTTCAGCAAAATAATCGATTTTAATCAATTTTTGGTGCATGAAATCAATTAAAATCAATTATTTCGTTAAATTTAATCAAAAACTGCCCTATTTAATCGATTTTTGGTGATTTCTTCTCAAAAAATCGACTTTAATCGCGTTTTGCGTGATTTATTTTTACATGGGGTATTTGCACAATCTTAATTAAAATAACTGTTTCTAATGTATCTCATGACTTTTACGAACTATTTTCGTGTCTCGCTCTGCCTCTACCTATCTGTTCTCATTCTTTAGTTACCCTCTAACAAACAAGCACCATCGTTAATGAACATCGAAACAAACACTAAGAACCTGTTAGGATCATGACCACTAACACTAAGGAATATAGACGAGAGGTGTATCTTTTTCTTGTGGTGTTTTTCACTTTTTCCCAACAGAACTAAAAAGTTTCACGGTTTTTTTTTACTTGTACAGTGAAAAATTTCTTAATACCCTACAGAAAATTTTATCCTAAAACATTCCCGTAGAGGATTGGACACCGTCTTTGTGGCTTTCACTGTATTCGATAAGAATCATTTACTTATTCAATATTAGAACAGATAGTAGTTCAAACAATTGTAAGAATTTTTCTGTCTTTTTTACAGCGCTCACGACTGTGCTAGGTGGCATAGTTTATGAGAGCGTGTACTTGTGAAACCGCGTTGAATACTACAGTAAATAAACACGTATAAAACTCTGGAACCTATACTGCTCTTACTATTTCTACTTATATCTATATGTCAGCTATATAAGCATCACTATTGTTCAGCTTTTTTGTTGAAATAATCAATAAAAAAAGCAACAATACTCTGCTGTATTTTATATTTTATACTGAGCTAAAAGAAGAACAAAAGAAAAATTTTCTTTTTCATCTTTCACAGCAGCAACAACAAACAGGATATTGCAATGACTGTTTTTGTGTATGGTGTTTTTTTTTGCTGCAGCACTATAATTTGTTCTCGACAATTGCCGAAGAGTAGGAAGAGAGTGAATCGATGCATATTAACAGAAGACGAAAAAATAAGAAATCGAAGGTAATCAATTTTTTATGCATGAATTATTACATCCTGTCGTTGTTTTAAAGTGGACTATTAACGAGAAGAGAGACGCATTACTGCATTTTTTTTATTTTGCTAACTGAGAAACGCCGATGCCAAACGAGGGCCTGTCGGCACTTAGAGCTTACAACGCATTACTGCATTTTATTTCACAGCGCATGCACACCGAACGAGAGAATAGTTTTTATTTATGTCACCGTGTTCTTAACAGTAAATGATTGTAACTGTAATTCAAATATGCAATATATAAAATAATTATTTGAACATTCGTAATTTTCTTTTTATAGCTCCTTTATTTTGCACTCGAATTTTTTGATTTGTACACCATTCGATAGACAAAACAATTCTCTACACGTTGGTGGCATTGGAACTGAAAAAAACTTGATAGAACCGCAAAATCTTCTTGACGTGAGAAACCATATAGGTTTTATAAGTTTGATAAAAGGAAAAATAAACAGAAAAGATATCGTCAAATGGAGAACACAAAACTGAATCGAATCACGTATTTCATTCTGAAAGATAATCAAATAAAATAAATATTAGTTGCACATTATAATTAGTAGTTTTTTTTTATGAGTCTTCCAATAAGTTTCATTTTTGAAATACAAAATCAAACTCAAAAATTTTTTTGGATAACACAACCCAGTCAGACAAAAATTTTGAAAAACGCGTTTAAACGCACAAACGGGAACCGCGATTATGAGCCATTAACGCTCGTTAAAAAAACGCACGAAAACGCATTTATTGGTGTTTTTTGTAACTTTTTAGGCGTCAAAACGACGAAAATTTCAGTTTTTGAGCGTTAAAACGCGCTATTATTCTAGCATTTAAAAACAAGGCGTTTTAACGTTCAAAAACGGAAATTTTCGCCGTTTTGACGCCCAAAAAGTTACAAAAAACGCCAATACACGCGTTTTCGTGCGTTTTTTTAATGAGCGTTAATGGCTCACAATCGCGGTTCCCGTTTGTGCGTTTAAACGCGTTTTTCAAAATTTTTGTTTGACTGGGAAACTGGTAGACAATCAAAATCTCTACGCAATAGAACGTCCTAATACTTGACCAATAATATCTTTAACTATGATGAGATCGCAGTTTTCCAATTCTACCGTTTATGCGGGCAAATCCTTTCTGTGTTGAACGATAGACTATGATCTTATTATATTTAGAGATGTTATTGGGCAAACATTGCAAACGTGTCATTATGTAGCGAACTGGATTCTCTACAAGTATCTACTGTCCAAAAAATGTTCAGTTTGATTTTCTATTTCAAAAATCAAAAATTTATTTCATTTGATTATTTTTCGAAATCAAATACATGATTCGATTCAATTTTATTTACGCTATCGAATAGGGTATATATTAAAATATTTTGTTGCAGAATAAAAATGCTATAAAAAGTAACTACGGGTGCTCAAAGAATTATTTTACGTGGGAAATCACGTAGTTTGTAGAAAAATCTTCCAAAAATTTATGAAAACCCTCTTCAGAGAGAATTCTTTCTGTCTAAATAAACTAGCAACTTCCACCTATCGAATGATGTAATCAAAACCGAAAAAATGTATTGTCTTCTCCAAAAAATATACTTACAAGATGAACGGCACAGGATGTCTAAATAATTATTTTATATGCTCTAGATATAAGAAAAAAGAAAATGTACTTTTATTCTGATAGTTGAAAGATACTATTGACGATTGTCGGCGTCAGAATTAAGTATGGGTGGGTGTAAGGCGAATATTTCGAGAACAATCACAGCTAGAGACCTACGGTTTTCGCTAGTAGGAAGAGGAGATTTTTGGGGCGTCTATTTCTCCGATAGTACATAAGACACAAATAAATTTAAAAGTAACCATTTATGCAAATCATTAAAAAAGCTTGTCAGCGCACCCCCTTTGGGGCTAAAATGTGGAACTCACACACCTTGTCCTGCACTATTAAAAACTACGTGGAGCCAATAATCTCTAGGGTGTGGGTGTGAGTGTGGGTGTGGATTGATGAGTTTGGGGTTTGTGTAGGTGTCTGTTAAAAGAAGGGTCACACACACACTGACACCCACACTCACATCCCATATTGTTCTTGTCTAAAAAACGCATCTTTCATCTATTTTAAACACTTTCCAGAATGTATTGCAAAAGTGAGTTTTACGTTTTAAAATTAAAATATTCTAAATCGGTAATGAATCGTTTGGCTAGACGCTTATTAGACGCGAGTGGGGTTTCTGGAAAAGTTGTGTATCTGCTTCGTTGCATGTAGAATATCCATTATGATATCAAACGACCGAGTTGTCAATCAAATGAAACAGTTAAATGGGAGACTACACTGCGTCATTATGCTCATCGAAAGATTTATTTAAATCAATTAGGCGTAAAATTTATTTCACTATTGACCTTCACTGCTGATCGGGTGTGGGTGAGGATGGGTTTGAATGTTACTTTTCTCATCATCCACATCCACACCCCAATACTCATCTTTTAGTTCCTAGGACTTTTAATGATTAATATCATTCAGGAAATATATGATATACCAGTTGAACTTCAATAGTTCAATAATTAGAACACTGATATGGATAAACAATAATTATATCAAAAGTTCGATTCCTAAACGAAGAATATCATTTGTTTTTCTAAATGATGTTAATTATTGAGAGTTAGAGGAAGCTCAAAATTCAGTCTTGTATAGTTACATATACTTCTGTTTATCCTCAAATAGAATGATGGAATTTAATCACTAGCATATTGTAGTTTTAAATTCACTTGTGTTAAGACGACTCTGCTGATTTTCATAATTGTAAAGTCAAAACAAAAAGTTAATTAGATCATCTTTATAGAATCATTCGGTATCACAATCCGCTCCTCCCTTCTCCCCCCCCCCCCCCTCCCCCTTTCATGCCATATTTGCGACCGCATTTTTGTTGACTAAATACACTCATTTCATCTGAATCTGTTAATAAAAACTTCATTTTAAATCAAGTTTTAGTTTGAAAACATTTAATTTCATCACAAAATTTAAAAAATATGACAATGAACTGTTTCTCTAAACTGATACATATGCAATATGATTCTGTTGAAATAAATCCTCAATTCTCAGTAGATACTGTTTTGAATCCATTTAGGAGAAGTAATACATACTTGTTGCTCTTTCTAAATATGATATTTCTTCCATATCATTTTGCTACTTTAAATTCACATGTAGAAAAAAAGACAAAGGATCTTTGTTACTTTTTTGGTAAAATGAATTTCTACTCAATGAAATATTAGCAAACTGCTTCACTTTCAAATAATAAAAACATGAATGAATTCAAATTACTTCACTGAAATTAAAATTTTATTCTATTTCTACCTATGACAGTTTGAACTACATATTCAAGGTTTCTTTTGCAGAATAATTTCATAAGCGTACTTCAATACACTTTATTGTATAAATGATCCTTTATTTTGATATTAAAAACAAAACACCATGAAAAGGTAAAAGTGTTCAACAGTTCGTTATTTGTATCAAATAAATGAAGTAATCATGATAGCTGATATGGCTGTGTAAATCGCATCAGTTAGATAATTGTATTACTGATGCAGCAACTTGAAGTCCTCCCAAAGCCATATTTAATCCATTAGATCCAGATATTCTTTGATTGTACCATTGAGCAATCGCCACTAGCTGTTGCCGTGTGTTCGATGATGGTGCAAATAAGTGAAAATGAACATATCGACTATTTCTGTCAGCTTGGAAATACGTACGAAATATTAAACCTAATGTTAATGGTTGTTGACCAAAATTCTGTAATTCGTCAATGATGAAACCATTTCTATAGAAGACGATATGACCATATTGATGATTTGACAATCGTTCATAAGATTCACGTCGATAACAGAATGATGATAGAGGACCCGCTTCCACCCATTGCCGATCAGAACCATGAATATAATTTAAATAGCGTATCCAATCTTCACCATCAAATTTTCAAACAATGACTTCATCTCAACTTTCAAGAGTGTCCAAATCGCTCAACTTACAGCACATTTGACATCTTCAAATACAGAAAAGAAGAGGGATAATGAGGGCAGAAGTCACACCAAAGGATAAACCAACTATAAACAGTACTAGGCGAGGTTTTGGACATTCTTGGACGTACTCTTCGCATTGAGGTACTGCATATGAAACTCCAAATAATATTATACCAATTAATGCGACAATTCCAAAAGCAATTGAAACATATATTATTTGTTTACTTGAACGTTTTTTGTAGGCGTCAATGAGTTCACTTATCAATTGAGAAGAAAGACTCATATTAGTATTTGGACTAAAGCGCGAATCAATATTCAATGAGAATGGTTCCTATAATGTAAAGTCGAAATAATAACCCAATATTTATTTTTAAAGTCGAGTAAAAACGATCCAATGTTCATAAAAATAGAAGTGTTATTGTTTCTCAGAGATCAGAAAAAAACCACTTTCAGATGTCCTCCACGAAGAACTTTTGTTTTGGAGAAAATATCAAACATGAACTATAGTCATAAAATAATGAGGAAGTCCTCCTAGACTTACGTTTGATCGTCAAATATTGATGTTTGTGAAACCAGCATTGGAGGGGGGGAGGTTGAATTTTGTTCGTTCATTCATGGATCAGTTCGGTCGTGAATAGATTATTTTAAATGTATTATTCAAAAAAAAAAACAAATTTAAAATAAGGATTCAAAAAATTGAGCTGTATATAGTATTGGTTGTGTTATTCAAAAGCATCTATCTACATTCATTCGTTGAGCATAACTGTTTCCTTTCGTTAAATACTCATATTGAATTGATAACAAAAACTACATGCTTCAGTTGGAAGTCAATGCTAATATTGAAGCTCATATTTTACTTCCACCTACGATTTAAAAGAACCAAACTTCACAATTAACTCATTACTGTGGACTTTTTAATGATCAAGAAGACACAAATATATCTTCAAATGATCATGCGAACTATCTATTGGTGGAAATATGATGAACAACAAACCGTCCTTCCATTCTATTTTTGGTAAAAGTTAATATTTGCTATCACTTTTAAAAAAACTACTAAAAGTTTCTCTCAACGCTTCTCGTTGCTTTTGCTGACTCGATTACCTACGACCAAGCTACTTTTCAGTCACGTAAAGGTGATATCTCTGGTCGATGATAATATAATACTCTTTGTGTTTTATGGCCTCATTTTTTGTGAAACACGATCTGAAAGGAGTGTTGAAGTGTTTAGGGGCAGAAATTTGCACCCACCCACCCCCTCCCCCCCACAGACCGTGACAGAGAAATTTCATACACATCACAGACCGTGACAGAGGAACCAAATACCCATCACAGACCGTGACAGAGGAACCAAATACCCATCACAGACCGTGACAGAGGAACCAAATACGCATCACAGACCGTGACAGAGAAGCTCTGGACCCATCACAGACCGTGACAGAGAACATCTGGACCCATCACAGACCGTGACAGAGAACCTCTGAACCCATCACAGACCGTGACAGAGGAACCAAATACCCATCACAGACCGTGACAGAGAAGCTCTGGACCCATCACAGACCATGACAGAGAACCTCTGGACCCATCACAGACCGTGACAGAGAACCTCTGAACCCATCACAGAGCGTGACAGAGGAACCAAATACCCACCACAGACCGTGACAGAGGAACCAAATACCCACTACAGACCGTGACAGAGAACCTCTGGACCCATCACAGACCATGACAGACAACCTGTGGACCCATCACAGACCGTGACAGAGAACTCCAGACACCATCACAGACCATGACAGAGAACCATCGGACCCATCACAGACCGTGACAGAGAAACCTCAATACCCATCACAGACCGTGACAGAGAACCTCCGGACCCATCACAGACCGTGACAGAGAATCATCGGACCCATCACAGACCGTGGCAGAGAAACCCTAGTATCCATCACAGACCGTAACAGAGAACCTCCGGACCCATCACAGACCGTGACAGAGAAACCCCAATACCCATCACAGACCCTGACAGAGAAACCTCAATACCCATCACAGACCGTGACAGAGAAACGCTAGTACTCATCACAGACCGTGACAGAGAAACCCCAATACCCATCACAAACCGTGACAGAGAAACGCTAGTACTCATCACAGACCGCGACAGAGAAACCCCAATACCCATCACAAACCGTGACAGAGAAACTGTAGTTTTGAAGCATCAAATAAATGGTAAGCTACAAATCTATCTTGAAGAAATGGAACAAAACGATGTCTATTTAATTAGTAACAATAGGTCCATCGTGTTTCACATTTTTAATCCCGCAAGGGATTGCGCTAACAGCTTTTCTTACTAACACGCAATCGCAATCTCTGACTGTTATGAATTTATCATAAACAATCTTAATTTTCAAAACAACGTATTAAAATAATATTGAGTCAATGAATAAATCAGAGTTATAAAAGTTTTTATATTTAATAAGCGCACTCTAAAATTTTATTTTATCAAAACTTCATATTTATAATTACTGTACAAAGAAAGTCTTTTTTTATCCGATACATCTTTAATGCATAGCTTGTATCTACTTTATAAAGAGAATATGTATACAACACATGTGAAATGTTAATAAATACTAAAAACATTAAAGATTAAAGAAAAAGGGTATGGGTGTGAGCGAGACGCTTTTTCTATCTACACCCACGGTCACACTCTGAAGTAAGTAAGAAATTTAAATCCGAAAAAAATTTCTAACTGACAATCAACTAGCTCTTATTTTGTTAATAAAAATAAATTTTATGGGATCTTTAAAAATGTGACAAGTGTACATTAGAAATTTTGACAAAATAAAATTTATTCCAGTTTAACTCATAGATATAAGTTTACATTTTCGTTCTTTTTCCGTTGAATATAAATCAGTTTTTTGGTCTATATTTTAGTATTAATTTAATCTTTGTCCATTGATATGAAATTTTGCATAACATTCATCAGCAGAATGTGAATCTCGTCCACATCGAGCACAATCTAACATTTCACCATCGATATCGAAAGTTGCATAGCAATCATCTTCTACATGTGAATCTCGTCCACATCGAGCACATTCTAACATTTCACCATTAATATCGAAAGTTGCATAGCAATCATCTTCTACATGTGAATCTCTGCCACACCAATCACATTGTATTATATTAGGAAGATAGTTACAAGCATTTGCATAATGTCCATAGTTTCCACATTTAAAACATTGTATTGTCTGTGAAGTTCGAACTGATTGTTTTCGATTCGAACAATTATTCGAAAAATGCCCATTTTCTCCACAATTAAAACATGAATCTG